CAGCATAATGAACTAAGCAGATAAAAGGTAAATGGAAAACTGAGGAAAACACGATAAAGAGACAAATATATATATATATATATATATATATATATATATATAAATATATATTTGTATATATCAAACTAGAAACAGAATACCGGAGGAGTGGCTATTTCTTTAGGCTTTTTTGGCCTTCCATAAAAGACCGTGACGACAAGGGGGACGCACGCGGTACTGAAACTGCGCGTTGTGGAACACAACCCCAGCAAAGCAGAAAAGAAAAAAGAAATCCGTAAAAGCTGCCAAAACCTACAGAGAAGCGAGGAGACAGAATGCGGCGAGTACACGGACGCACCAACACGCAGGGGAGGAACGTGTAAGTGACCAGCACCCCGAAGTCGGCTTCCTTTGCCGGTTACTATCCACTACTAAACAAAGATATGAACTAGATTTTTTTGTTGGTGTGCGTTCTCTCACCAAGCGCTCGAGCTGTAGCCGAAGTACTATCTGAAGATGGAGGAAAAAGAAATAAAGAGAAATAGCGGAAAAGAGAAGAATCAAGATGAAGTACACTATTCGGGGACGAGAACGAAACTCGAGAGCACGGGCAGCACACAAGCTGTTCGTTTTTGAAGTCGGCGAAGCTCGAAGGACACGGAAGAAGTAAATAGTAATAACAATATGAACATCGGAAGCTGCCACCTTTCACCTCCACCTCTTTTTCTTTCCATTTCTCTACTTTGACTTGCAGGAGTGTAAACAGTGAAGGAAGTAGTGTTTGTGAGCGTGGAGTTCGAAGACCACAACAGTGGTCAGCAACTTCATCAAAGAAAAAGAAGAAAGAGAGGGAAGGAAACTCTGCCAAAGCGCCTCACTCGAAGCCAAATGAGGAGGACACTGCACTTTTTCTGTCTCTCTTGGAGTTTGAACCTCGTCAAAGGGGGAGAGAGGAGAAGAAAGGACGCAAAGCTCACAAAATCGAAGACCAAAATCGCAATGCGTGCAAGCTGCGCTGCTTAGAAGCGGTAGACTTCGTTGTTGTCGTAGCCCAGCTCCCCCAGAATGCCACCCAGACTCACAAGATTATTGATATCCGTCGCCATCGGCTGAATGTTCAAGCTACCAGACATGGAGGACATGGTGGACAACGGCGTCCCCGCTACGTGGGACAGCAGCGGGTCAGGCCCGCACAACATAATGATCTTGTTCTTCTCATCAGGCGCCGGCATGCTCGCCTTCACCATCTCCGGCGAAACGTAGCCGAGAAAGTGGTTACTCTTCTTCATCCACGTCTCCTTGTCCACTGCGAGGTCGATGGTGTAGAAGACGCGGAACCGATTCGAGAAGCGCTCCGCCAGGTCGTCGAAGACGCCGCCCAGCAAGATGTGCCGCTCCGTGCGGTTGCAAAACAAGAACGACAGCCGCGTCTTGTCCACCTCCCCGCTGTCCCACCTCTCCGTCAGCGCGTGTCGGATAATTTGGAGAAACGGGGTAAAGCCCGTCCCACCGCCGATCATCCCGACGTGCTGCCAGCGATTGGGTCGGTACTGGATCTTGAAGGCCACACTGCGGAAGAGCAGCGTGTCGCCAATGTGCATGCCGAAGAGGTGGTTCGTCATGAGCCCCTCCGTCTTTCGCTTCACGATTAAGTCAAAAAATCCCTTGGTGTGGTTCGATGTGACCGGAGTGTAGAAGCGCTGACACTGCTCCGTGGGTTGCACCCCGTATTTGTAGCACGCCTGCAGGGTGGAGCACGGCTTTAAGTTGAACTCATCCTCTGGGTCGTGCAGGAGAAAGCGGAAGAGGGCCACGTCGGACGTGATGGGGATGACTTCACCGAGTTGGTAGCGCTCGTAGCGCTGACTGAACACCTGACCAGGACGCTGCTTGTTGCGAAAAGACAGTGGGTTGTGGATGCCCTGGTAGCACGCGACACTGCTCTCGTGCGGGGGCCGCCACAGCCACGCCCCCACTGCGCCGACAAGGCAGGAAAGTGCGAACCGCATTTTTTGCGAATAGCGCCGCGAAAAAAGTACGGCGATGACACTGTGCTACTAGAGGGTAATAATGATAATGATACTACTTATAACAGTTGAGCCGCTCTTGTCAGCGGAAATGAAAGAACTCCTTCTGCCAACGTCAACTCAGGACGGTTGAAATCCTACCGTCGGATGCAGCAGCAGCAACGTCGCGCTTCCTTTTATTCAGCACGCAAAAGGAAAAAAAAACCGGTGCGAGGCGAAGAAGCGTTGGGCCCGTCAACGCAGCATCCAACGCGCGAGGAGCATCGGAGGGGGAAAAATACAGAGGATGAAGCATCAGTGTTGAAGGAAGACACTACGGTCGTCGACGCGTCAGTCAGTGGGACGAACCGCTCACCCAAATACGATGCTTTCCAGGGAGGAATACCGCCGCCGATGTAGCAGAAGTCAGACAAACACATCCAGTATGTCTGTACAGTGCACACAGAGAACGTGCGTCAATCTTTCGAGATCCTTGTTCCCTTTTAAAAAAAAAAAACCCGGTGCTTTGAAGTGCGATTATGCATAACGATTCCCAGCAGATCTCCATCGCCTTTGTCATTTCTTCTATTTGTAGCAAGAAAGAGGGGGAAAAACACAAGGTGTTGTGCACACAGGCAGCGACGCGCAGCACACACACACACACACACATCCGAGATCATCACGAGTGCGCAGCAGGACAGCTCCATCTCTCCTTCATTTTTCGCTTTCGTGATCGGCAATGTAATCCACGGCGGCCTCTACGTCTCCTCCAGTGGCCTGTAGCGCCTCTCGGCACATGGCCTCGTCCTCAAAGCCCATTTCACGCAGCGCTGCTAAACCCGCCTGAATGGTTTCCTCCGACACAACTGAGACCGGTTCAGCGGACGCCTGTGCCTCTGGATCTGCTGATTCCACCTGTACGGCCTGGGACGGTGATGCTGTAGCGGCCGGCGCAGCGCCGTTGGTGTTACTCATGGATTGCATCATCATCATCCACACGGCCTGCATCGTCGCAGGGTCTTGGCTCCCAAACGGCAGAGAAGGAAACGATGGGGAGGAGGAAGGGCCTGCCGCCGTCGCATTTGGCGCAGCGGGTGGGAAGAAGCCAAAGGGGTTACCGGGGGTCATCCCGCCGCCTCCCATTGCACCGTAGGGGTTCGCCGCCGCACCCGCAGCAGCAGCGGAGGCGCCGACGCCTGCGGCAGCCCACGGGTTCGGCAGCGGGTCGTTATTCGCCTCCTTCGTCGGATCGGGCGTGTAGACGCGGTCGTTCGTGTCGGCGGGAGCGGAGGTGCCGATGCGGATGGCCCGCTCGTTCTCCGTCTCCTCTTCCCCCCCGTCCGCGTTCATCTGGTCCATGAAATGGTTGATCGCCTGCTGTCCGCCTGGCATGGCCGAGATCTGCGCCAGCTGCAGCTCCGCGCTGCGCTCCATCTCTTTCCTCCGCTCCGGATTGACGGAGGACATAAGAATCGTCTTCAACATTTCCGGATCCTTCAGCATGCGTGCCATCTCCGGCGACTTCTTCTGCATCTTCTCAATCTGCGGGTTCAAGCGCAGTATACTTTCCAGCAGCGCCGGGTTCTGCGAGAGCGACTCCACCATCGACTCCATCGCCTCCGTGGATTGTCGCTCCTTCTCCATCTCCAGCTTGCGCTCCTCCTTCGACCCGAACATCCGCATCACCTCTCCGCTCTGCATCTCCGTCACGGGCTTGTCCGTCAGGTTGCAGAATATTTTGCGCTGCATCGGCGCTGGCTGCTGACTGCGGAAGAGGCGGGCACACAGGTCGACCCAGGCTTCGGCGTCGTCCGTGAGAAGCTTGCCGCCCAGCGACATGGTCATTACGCGGTCCTCCGGCGCGTCCAGCATCGCCGCCGCCACCCCGCGCACGTCTCCTACTGTCATCTCGTCATCAATGCACAGCGTCGTCTTGTCGCCCCTGTTGGAAATGATGTGGAACTCCATTGTGAAGGAATAATAAGTGTTCCGGCTCGTGGGGGAGCAATTCCAACAAGGCAAAGACAAAGACACACCACAAGCAAAGAAGGGGGTGGGGAAAGAGAATACAACGTAAAACCGCGTTTGGCTATGTGTTTTGTTGTTCGTGTGTATGTGAACGTCGGTTGTTGCTTCGGCGTGTTTTGCTAACAACGTTGTTTTGTGATGGCGAAAAGGAACAGTTACAACGAACGGAGAAGTGAAAGACGGAGCGATGAGGAGTCAAGGACGCAGCAGGCTCGACGTGATGAGCGCTGAAGAGCATTTCACGTTTTTAAACGACCCCCAAAAGGGCGTTTTGCTGATCTGTTCACAGCTGTAGGAGTCCTCCGAGCTGTTGTATAGAAAGAAAGAAACACCAACGTGCCGCCGGTTTATCTGCACGTGCTTGTGCTACTTGGAAGATGGTTTTGTCGGGCTATTCAGTGGTCTCTTCGATGGGAAGGATCGAGGAGGCATCTGTTTCCTTTTTCTGTTCTGGGTGTATTTCTCTACCTCTTCGCTGCAAAGTTCCCTTGCTGCGAAAAGGAGAGAAAGAACGCTGGAGTCCTTCATTGCCATCGTCCTGTGGAGTGTCGAAGCAGCTCCTCCGACGTGGATTGAGAAAAGGAAGCCGCGACGCCGCCACAGCAGTGTGACAGCGCCGTCGCCGCCGCCATGTCGGTCGTTCCGTCGAAGCGCTCCCGTGGCAGGAAGTAATTCGTGGAGTTCCACTCGCTGGGTGGGGTGGCGAGTGCGCGCTGCACCATCGCCGAGAAGAGAAGAGAAGAAAGAAAGTCGCCCTCGTGTTGCTCACCGCAAAGGGGAAGGTCTTCCACTGAAACGTCCGGCTGCGTCAAGGTGCGCAGCAACTCCGTGTGCACCGCTGTCAGCATCGTTTTCTCAGGTGATGCCTCCAGCCAGTCTTCGATCACCTGCAGTACCGGATGCTTCAATTTGCTCTCCAGCGGGGTATCGAGTAGGTGACCCACAGCGGACACCCAGAAGGCGCTGGTGGACGGTGCAGCGGCACCACCACCAGCACCGGCACTGCTTTGCAGAACGCGCTGTTGCCACGCACGCAGTAGCCGCACACTCCGCACTACTGCGACGGGCAAAGCGTTCCGCAGACAAGGCAGCGAGTAGCCGAAGGCGGTGCGCAGTGGCCCCCGTCGCGACGAGTTCTTCTGACGGTGCAGTGTTGACAGCGAGACATTAGGGTTCGCTACAGCAACGAGCAGAGACGCCCGACTGAAACTTCGGTCACCCATCGCGGAAGGCGCCGAAATGGGGAGCGACAGTTCCATCAAATCAGCCCCTCGCATAGCACACCGCTTAACCTGCCAGTAGCGTTCCCAGTTCACCTTGCGCCGGCAGTACGTCGGCTCCTGCCGTTCCCCGCCGTGCGTGCTGGTGCCAGACCCAACGTTGTCGACCGCCACGATATTCGGAATGTCCTCCATGAGCTGTGGTGCGACCATGTTGGCCACATCGATGACCTCGACGCCGTCAATGTACACCACCGCGTCAGGACAAAGGGGAGGCACATTGAGGTTATTTGCGAAGAGAGAAGAATGCACGTTGCTTGGTGGGCTCAGTCGAGCAACGACCTCCCACCATCGAGGACGCAAGCGCGTGGATGGCGCCGCAGTGGCCCACCACCTTCGCGCGAGCACTCGACCCGCAGCACCGAACTCACCTGGCAGCTCACCGCGTGCAGCGAGCTTCGACTGCAGGCGCACCTGCAATACTTCGAGGTCGCCGGAGGCCCCACGAGACTGGCGTCCTTCACCGAAGCCGCATGGGAAGACGACAGAAGCAGAGGGGTAGCAGCTCTGCACGAGCGTAACGAGTGCTTCCGCTGCGCTTTCCACCGGTGATGGGGAGGCGCCAACGACTACACGGGATGTGCGCAGAACGCCGCAGCGCACATTCATTCTTTATAAGAGGAGGAGGGGGAGAGTGCTTATAGCTTTTGTTGTTAAGAGACATCCGCTGGTCAGCAGAAAACTGGGCTGATGGGTGCGCCAACCGCCAACGGCCCAACGTTCCGGTACCTCCTTTTATACACCACCGTCTCGTGCAGGGGAAACACGCAAAGAGGAGAAAAAACGGGGGGGGAGGGAAACAAAAGAACGAAGGGAGCAGATCAAGGAAGAATGGTGCGTAGCATACCAGATGCGAACGAGTTGCAGGAAGTGCCGACGAGGGGTAGAGCCAACGAGGCAGTCTTTTTCCCTTTTCTTCAACCCGACGGCGACGAAAACAATAAGCAAACTGCCGGTGGCCTTACGTCATCAAAAGCGTAGGCGTTCTTCTTTCTCTTCTTCTTTTAGTGGAGGTGCATTAACGCCATATGAACGGGCGATGGCGCGTGTATCCATCACGATAGCATTAAAAGGGTGGACCAGGTGCGGAGAAAACACACATGAACACAAAAACAAGGGAATATACATGAAAAAACGACCACGTAGACATTATATATATATATATAGAGAGAGAGAGAGAAGGCTTTCAATGTCCAACTGCAACGCCATGATGATGATCTTTAGCAAGAAAACAAAACAGGAAAAAAAAGGAGAACAAAGAGAAGTTTTAAAGACAGAAAAAGGGGGAAAAGTGGAAAGGGAGAAAATCAGAGAGCAAACACGGGAGACGAATGAAGCACCACCTCTACCTCAGGTGGCACATGCGCATGACTTCATTCAACGCCGTGGTTAGAAAAGAAGGGAGGAAAATTACTTTTTTTAGGTGCAGTTAAAATGTTTATATCATTACAAGAAAGAAAGAGAGAGAGAAACAAAAGAGAAGAGGTTTCCTTTTTGATGCCGTCGTAACTTTCGGCCCCTCATCACATACAACGCATTATCACGTAGCTTTGAACGTCACGCATGGGATCGACGTAACGTGCACGTGTTGGACATCTTTGACGCCAAACAACAGACCGTGCATTGCAACTTCGCAATGCTCCTTTCCAAAAGAAAAAAAAGAAAAGCTGTTAGTTTTAGCAAGCCCCCTTAGAAGGGCACAAAGAAAATACGAAGAAAACAGATGCGAAAGGCGGAACAACAACCACAACAACAAAAAAGATGAGGAAAACGAATGAGACCATGGAAGGGAAAGCACTTCACCACTTTACACGTACGCACGCACACACTGCCCAACAAAGCTGTTGAAACCACACAACAAAAATGTTCTGTCTTCAAAAAGTCGGTTCGTCGCGCATTCATCTGCCGGTTTTTCCTTTTTCCTACTCGTGTTCTCTTTTTCTTTTGCACTATTTTCTTTTTTATATATACGCAGAGCGCATCCCACATCTTCAGCAGCCCCGTCCTACTTGTGTTTCACACTTGCCGTTTACAGCTAAAAGTTAAAGAAAAAACAAGTTATGAAAGTCCACTCTTTTTGTGTGCTTAATCTGGCCGTCGTCACGACGATGTCTACGTTAGAGTATTGAGAAAAGAGCGATAAACCTTTACTTCAAGGGAAAGAGCGACGCCCTCGTAACTGCATTTTTTTTCTTTCTATAAGGTATGGAGCAGCGACAACGTTGTGATCGAATTTTTTAAGAGTGAAAATAATAGTAAATAATAAATAACAATAATGAAAAGAAAGTCTCGTCGGTGAGATGAAGTGAGAACGTAGCGTTAGCATTAAGTAGTTAGGAGGAGGGGGGGGAGTGTGTCTGTGTACACCACAACACATACCCCCCCCCCCTCTCTCAAAGAAGAGAGAAACAAAAACCACCCCCACAAGAACATTCCTTTAGCATCACAAAACACGGGGAATGCGTCACCGCTGCTTTGTGACGCCGCCGTTGTATTTCCACAGAGGCGTGGGAGGAACAGGAGAGGAAGTGATCAGGAGAGCGATGCAGAGTCAGCTGCGACTTCATCGGTGAAAAGAAAAAAGACAAACGTGAAGCGGGTCAGAGATCAGGTCGCTCTTCATACAAAAACCGTCGTTAGGGTCAACACGAATTCAACTACAACACAAGTGAAACATCAATGTTATCGCTGCTATATGTGTGTGTGCGGAAGGGCATGTGCGCCTTCACACCTCCCTGTTGGTGATGTCACCAGTACTGCGGCCGCTCACCAAAGGGCGACTTGGGCGATAGCTGGTAACCGGGGTACGGCGGCAGAGCCCCGAGTGGTTGCTGCTGTTGTGGCAGCTGCTGCATCGGCGGTGACGAAGGTGATGGGCACTGCTGCTGGTAGTGTTCAGGGTTGGGCGACGCGCCATCGCGGCGACTCGAGTTTGGCTGACTACCACCTCCAGTCCTTCCACGAAGATTATTGTTGTTGAAGGTGTGGTTACTACCAGACCGCTTATCGTGATTGCCAGCGCCACCAGCAGCAGCAGCACTTGTCGCCGGAGTGTTATTGGTGTTGGGGTTCCCGCCGTGCCCGCGACGGCTGCCGTTGCTGTTCAGCGCGTCCGCCTTGAGCTCCTCCACCACCATCGAGTCGCGGGGCAGTCGGGACTTCTTCGACAGCACCGCCGCGTCGAGCGCGACGTACTCGCACAGCGCATCCACCTCATCCGCGGTGCGGGCCAGCCACACGCCACCGACATCAAAGAGGATGCGCTTGTGCAGGCTGCGCACCAACGTCAGATCCGCCTCGCTCCGACAGTAAAGGAGGTAGCAGCCGGCACCGCGGCTTTCGAGGTGACTCGCGCAGGCACCGCAGGTACGGTGAATGAGCCACAGCAACTCTGCCGACGTCGTTTCAAAGCGCACCTGTCCGATGAAGAGGGCGATGGGCAGGCTACTCTCTGCGCTGCCCGCACCTGCGCCGGTGCCCATACTACCGCTGTTACCCTGGCTGCCGGCATTGCCGCTGGTTGGGTTGCCGCCGGCTTGTGCGCCAGACTTCGGGTTGGCAGGTAAGTTGGCGGGGAACTGAATGTAGCGGCAGCGGTCCTTCAGCGAGCGGTGCACCACCTCCGGCGGCAGCTCAAATTGCGTGTCGAGACGCTTGCTGTGGCCATGCGTGAGGTACGCGTCGGCGGTGTGTTGATCCATCACTACCGGCCCGAGGTAGAGCCCGCCATTGAAATTGTTGGGTGCCAGGCCCTGCGTCGGCGTCGACACCTGCGCCGGACTGGTGTTGCCGGAGAAGCTAAAAGTGTACGGGTTGTGGCGACCGACGCGCTCCCCCTCACTCGGGATCTCGCCCTGGATCGGCGCGACGTACGGCGACCGCCCCGTGCCTTTGGTGCGACACGTCACGGTGATGGGGCTGTCCTCCAGCTCGACCAACGTGCTGCTGTTGCGGCGGCCCAAGACGGCTTGGTAGTTCACCTGCAGCGGCTCCACAAAAGGGGAGGTGGCGAGAGGGTCCTGCTGGTGGGGCGGGGTACCGCCAAACTGTGTTGTGAAGACCAGCGGCGGTGTAGGCGGGTGCTGTGCGGCGAACGTGTGGTTCGGCGTGCCCACGCTGGACAGATCCGTCGCGCTGCCGTAGCCGCCGCGAGCGCGGTAGACCGGCGAACGCTGCGATGATGGGTAGTTGCCGTTGTTCGGAGTACCTTGCATCATGAAGAAGAAGGGTAGAAGAAGATTTCTTTTTCCTTTTGAATTGGACAAACGCTGAAGGTTGCTTCGGAGACGTTACCGACAAACAAAGACAACAACAAGATGTATCGTTTACCACCACCACACACAAACAGTCACACATACAAAAGCGTCAATGGGCAGTTCGTTGACCGATGAATGGAAATAGCGGGGGAAGAGGCACACAGCACGGCGAAGAAACGAAAGGTGATGAAACGGGGGAAAAAAATAAAAAGAAAGCCAACTTCTCGCGCAGCAAGACAGAAGGTGAACGACGACGAGGAAATGTAAACGTACAGAACAGGGAAGACGTGATGGACAAGTAAGAAGCACCAAACAGCGAATGAAAGTAAAAAAGGAAAAGACCGGAGAGCAAGCAATAAGAGGGAAGCAGACGAAGGTGAGAGAAGAAGGGAAAACTATATCGGATGCTCTGGAATGGCCGCCACTACACGACTTTACGCGTCAAACGTGCTTTTTTTGAACGCTTAAGTATAAAGAGGTACAAAAGGGAAAATGTTTGTATGGGATACCGCTAAACGATTTGTTCTTTGTTTCTCTCTCTGTGCTGCAAACGATTCCTTAGCGAGAAAAGAGAAGAAAACGAATCAGTCGGCGCAGAACTGATGGCTATTTGTTTGTTTAGCGGTGCTAGAGAAGAGAAAATAGAGGAGAAGACAAGAAGAGTAGTGTATATATATATATATATATATATATATATATATATATATGTATATGTGTGTGTGTGTGTGTGCACGTGAGGAAGAGGAGAGATAATAAAAAAAGAATAGTAATGATGGGCAGGAGAGGAGTTGCGGCGAGAGGGAGACTGACAAAGAGAGGGGGTGTGAATCCGCACGAACGCCTACGAGTAAGACATTCAAGATGCCCGTGGCAATCTAAAAGAATAATAATAATAAAATAAAAGAAAGGACCTCTCCCAAATTCATGAGCCTGATAAAGGTGGGCAGCGAAGTGAAGATCCCCTTTCTCCCTCCTCTTCCTCCCGTCCACATTTTACCCGAGCGACACACTGGCAAGAGAGAGAGAGAGACAGAGATGAAGTGGAATTTTTAGATCTACATCTTCCGTTTTAATTTTCAAATTGTGTATGTTATTACGCGATGACTTATACGGTGTTAAACAAACAAACACAAGCTGCCGGGCACACACCGCAGTACTTACGGTGTCGTCCTAAAGAGGATAACCACACGGCTGATCGATTTCATTTGTGAAGCAGCCGTCAATAGAGAGCGAGAGGGTGTGAACACGCTTTGTGAAGGTCGCACGGCAAATGGGGAAACACACACACACACACACGCCAACGTGTCAGCGTCCCTCTACGTCCCCCGCACGTTATACTTCATAAAGTACTCCGAGAACTCCACCCCCTCAAAGGACTCGTCGCGGTGGTCGTACAAGTAGCGGCGGGTCTCGTAAAACAAGCTCGGCTCCAGCGGCACCTCGAGGATCACCACCTCGCCCGTCGCCAGCTCCTTCTTTTTCCGCTTCGCGCTCACGCTGTTCGCGGCGTAGTACTGCTCCAGAATGCTGTCGCAGCGGGCCTTGTAGGCGCGGCACGGCGTGCGGTGCACCGTGGTCCAGTGCGCCTTCTGACACTCTGGGGAGCAGTAGTACACCGCCTTGCAGCTGCCACAGCGGAGGAGCGCCGGGCTGGTCGTCGTCGCGGGGGCGCGCTTCAGACACTGCGCACACACGTCACTGCCGCTGCGGGCCACCGCCGGGATGAGGTGCAACATCGAGGTGGACGCGTCGACAAACATTAAGTCCCGCGCCTGCTCCACATTGGCATCTGTCCAGTCAAAGCATCCTCCCACAGCGCTCGGCGAGGTGGGCTTCGTGTAGCGCGGCAGGGCGCGGCGGATATCCATGAGTGCAATGACCACGTCCTCGTCTTCCTCCATACCTTCCACGACATCCGCTGCGGTGCGACCGTCGTTGCCCCTGTGGGGGTGTTGATGTGCTTGACGGGCGGCGCGAAGCTTCTCCTTCAGAGCGGCACGACTACTGCTCCCAGAGGCCGCGACCGCTTCACCGCTAACGGCGCCGGCCGTCGTGCCGCCTTCACTCACCTCTTCGTGTCCACCACCCGCCTTGATAATGGCGTCGATGGAAGGCAGAAACCACGGCAGCTGCGCGAGAAACTCCAAGTTCGCCTTCGCGTACCCGTTAAGCTTTGCCTCCAGTAACGCGGGCGCGGAGGTGGGGGCACCCTTGTGGGTCTGATCGAGTCGACACAGCTCGCCCAGCAGCGACACCGTCTCCCACCGACACTCGTGACAGATGGCGTTGTTGCGCTGGGCGAGCATGAAGGCGACGTTCTTGATAAGCTTTTCCCTGCGCAGCTTGCCAGCCACGGCGGCGGTGGCGTCCGCCGAGGTGCCGGCAGCCGCCGTGGACGCTAGCGCGGGGTCGTCGAAGAAGAACAGCTTCACGGAAGAGTGGAAGGCGACGGTGTTGAGCGCCACGACGTTGTACGCCTTCGTGTCGAAGGAGACGTCGCTGGACGTCAGTTGGGCGTAGATCTGGTCGAGCGTGATGGGATCCGGCCGCGGCGGCGGTGGCACCTTCGGCGGCATCGCGAACACGCTGTCCTGTCTTGATTGTTGTATCAATAGTATTGCTTACTACGCTTGTAGAGGCAAAAAGAAGATGGCGATTCGAAAGATGAGGAGGGAGGAGGGGGGGGGGAGTCGGTTGGAGAAGATATTTTAGAGTTACTGCCTTTGTAAAGGAAAAAAAGAAACAAGAGAAGAGCAAACGCAGATCGCCACAGTGCTCATGTCACCGCTGCCTTCTTTTTAATTGGAGGGGCACTTCTTTTCCTTTAACCGCGACGGACGTCGACAATCAACGTCCTTCAGAAACAGGAGCGCCGCCCTCCCACACACAATCGCTAAAAACGCAAGGTGGTGAGGAGGATAAACGACGAGGTTTATGTGCTCTTTAGGAATAGTCCAAGACATCAATGTGACCAGCGAAATCAACAACCGCAACAAGAGAGAGACCCCACCCCCCTCACATGAAGCAACGACGTAAACCCCAAAACAATCAAACGATCAGAGGAGACTCCACCTTCTACGCGGCAACGTAGTCGCGCAGCTGCTGCAGCCAATGCTCGTACTCCGCCTGCTCAATCCAAATGGCGTACTGGCCGACAAACTCGCCCAGTTGATCATCCACGCCGCGCTCCGCCAACCAGCTCTGGATGCCGTCCAACACCTCCTCTTCCGTCTCATCGAGGCTCGGGCCGGGATACCCACCGAATGGGTTCGTGTAATGCGGCCCCGCCGCAGCAGCATCCGCAGTAGTAGCAGCAGCAGCAGCCGGCGCGCCGTGAAACACGACGTTGTCGACCACCAGTTCCCCATCCACGACGTCGCACCGAACTTCAATGCTGTCGTGGAAAAACGTGTGTTCCTCGAAGGCGTCGCTGTCCAAGTCAATGTGCGCACCGCCACTGCTGTTGCTGCTCTCCGCCCCATCATCGCCCTCGGCTCGCACGCGTTGCACAAAGAAGGAGAATGGAAAGTGCTCTCCCCGCACGTCGCACTCCGGATCCAACGAGGCATCACGCGTCGTGAGCTGCAGACGCAGAAAGTGCTTCTCGGCCGCTCGCGGAATCGGCGTCCATCGCTGCTGCTGTTGCTGCTGCTGTGCGGGATCTCCTCCGCCGTCCTCGGCGCGCTGCTGCTCTGCATTCGCCGTAGAACTCTCATGACCATCCTTCGATGCGTTCGGCGCAGGGGCACCACCAGCAGCAGCAGAAGCAGATGGCGGTGGCACCCACACACGACGGCCGTAGAGAAAACTCGTGCCCTCCGTGTGATGCATCGTCCAACCTGCCGGCACCAGCGGCGGCCCCTCTTCCTTGTCCAGGCGGTACTGCTCATCCATCATCTCCTTCTCGATACACTTGAGAAACGACTCCTCCGGCAGCTCAACAGCGCTGGGCGGGAGGGCGTTGCGTAGGGATGGTATGTGCGCGTGCGCGTGCGCGATGGCGCCGGCATCAGCACCAGCGGCGGTGCTCGTGTTGACGCCGTCTGCACTCGTCCCTGTGGCGTAACTTCTCTGTTGAACAAGGAGGGCCCGCTTGCGGTAAAGAGAGGTAGGTGACGTGCGTGCCGGCGTGCCGGCTGGTCGGCCGCGTAGTGTGGTGGACGGTGCGCGCAGCGCAGGCGATGAGCGGCCGACGACAAGAACCGCCGCAGCTGCCGCTGCTGCTGCTGCTGTTGCTACCGCGTACGCACCCGCTGCGGGGACGGAGTGCAGAAGAGACCGCTGCATCTCTCTCGTCCTTGACGTTTGTCTGCCACGACCTCGACGAAGAGAGTAGGAAGCGCGCAATTCAAGTGCGTGTGTGCGAGGGGAAAGAGAGGGCCGAACAAGCAAACGAAGAAACAAAGCACTATTGACACAAATCGTTAAGAGGGAGAAGGTGGAAAGGAAGGCGCGGAGCGGGAAGTACACGACTAACGGAGGAACAGTCGGAAGGAAAATCATAATATGTGAAGACGTGAAACCATATATGGGTGTATATTGGGCGTTGACAGTCTGCGCCGCTACGCCAGAAGGAAGGCGCCACTTGCTGGGGAACCCTCCCCCCCCCCCCAAACCCCCGTAGAGAAGGCCCACGTTCATCGTCTTGTGTTTCAGTGAGGCAAGTGTTTTCACACACACGCTCTCATAGACACAACTGAGCAACGTCAAGACCTTCGTTCTTGCCTTTCCTCTCCTCCACCCCACGCCACCCGACGTGGGAGACAGAGGAGT